AAATGTTTGGGACTATATGACTCAACTGTGCAAGTGCTGACGGTACATATAGTACATTTTGTCACAGAAACCACATTCCATGTTTAGAACTATATGACTAGACTGTGCAAGTGCTGACGGTACAATTAGTACATTTCCCCACAGAAACCATATTCCATGTTTGAGACTATGTGACAGGACTGTGCAAGTGCTGACGGTACAAATAGTACATTTTCCCACAGAAACCATATTAAATGTTTGGGACTATATGACTAAACTGTGCAAGCTGGCTGACGGTACAAATAGTACATTTTCTCACAGAATCCATATTCCATGTTTAGGACTATGTGACAGGACTGTGCAAGTGCTGACTGTACAAATAGTACATTTTCCCACAGAAACCATATTCCATGTTTGGGAATATGTGACAGGACTGTGCAAGGGCTGACGGTACAAATAGTACATTTTCTCACAGAATCCATATTCCATGTTTAGGACTATGTGACAGGACTGTGCAAGTGCTGATGGTACAAATAGTACATTTTGTCACAGAAACCATATTCCATGTTTAAAACTATGTGACAGGACTGTGCAAGTGCTGACGGTACAAATAGTACATTTTGTCACAGAAACCATATTCCATGTTTAAAACTATGTGACAGGACTGTGCAAGTGCTGACGGTACAAATAGTACATTTTGTCACAGAAACCATATTCCATGTTTAAAACTATGTGACAATACTGTGCAAGTGCTGACGGTACAAATAGTACATTTTCCCACAGAAACCACATTCCATGTTTAGAACTATATGACAATACTGTGCAAGTGCTGACGGTACAAATAGTACATTTTGTCACAGAAACCATATTCTATGTTTAAAACTATGTGACAGGACTGTGCAAGTGATGACGGTACAAATAGTACATTTTCCCACAGAAACCATATTCCATGTTTAGAACTATATGACTCGACTGTGCAAGGGCTGACGGTACATATAGTACATTTTCCCACAGAAACCATATTCCATGTCTGGGACTATACTCCAGTGCATTTTGTCATGGAAATCATATTCCATTAAAGATTTGTTTTAAGAATATAACCGCTTACCGGCCCCTCGCTGTAATAACAACTTGGCTGTATCGTGTCTGTCGTAATAAGCGGCATAGTGCAGCGCTGACATGCCCCGTTCGTCTTTGGAGTTAACAGACGTATTTTCATCTTCAAGACATTTGTTCACTATACTTATTTTACCAACTCGTATAGCCTGTATAATAAAATATTTTGAAATAGTTGAACAAATCTAATATATGCAATTAATAGTTCACTTTCATTCCAACCTAATCATCCAGTTGTGTGGGTGTTTTTTTTCAAACATAATTTCTTAGACTACCGATTTTTTAAAAATAAATTCTGTTTCACTATTTGTAAATTTAAAATAAATTTAGATCTCAAGTCATTACTGCGCCTGTCACTCACACAAACAATACGTGCACGACACGTACTTTACATCAATCAACTACATCCATGGCAGTTGACATAAAGGGTCTGGCACTATGAATTTCCATTTCAATATTGACATTGTAGTTGCAGCCACGGTATCCATGCCATTTGAACACACACTCAGACGGGGACAGTGCGTCAAGTCTCACAGTGTATTGAAACTTGAACAAAAGAACAACTCGCCTTCTCAGTTCTATTATCCAGAGTTAGCGGGACCAGCGCAATACAAACGTGACCTTGATAATAGGATTGTGTTCAAATAATAGAAGCTGACATTTTTGGACTAACATTATGTAATTGAAACACAAAATATAAGTATTAGAGGGATTACAAAAGAGGCTATAGTTAATATGGGCCGATAATTTGCTGGAGCCGTTGGTAAATTTATGTAATTGATTTTGCTGTGACAATGTATACATGTATGAACAATTATGTGAATATGGTGTTGTGTGTTATAGGAAGTAGGTGATGTCTTAAGTCTTTTGGTTATGTCATTTGAATCAAGAGGGGGAGGTTAAAGTACTTGATCGGAAAGAATGATTATATTTGTTCTTTGGCAGTGAATGGCTTATTTGTACTTGACTGTGACCCACCCACCACTCAATTGTAATTTGGCCAGCTGCTATTAGACATCGCTCAGCATGACTAGTTGGAAGACAACCATGTAAAAATAGTGTGAATAGAATAAACGTCTGTAATGAACAACGAAAAAATAAAGTTTTTATTTTTTATCTTAACCATCAATATACAACAAGTTTACAAAAAAATTCGAGTAAGAATAAAGTAAAAAGTTGAA